GTATAGTTGACTTACAATGTTGTGTTAAATTCTTGTGTACAGCATCATGATTTATTTATCATATATACATGTATTCTTTTTCCTGTTCTTTTTCACTATAGGCCACTACAAGGTACTGGATACAGTTCCCTGTGCTGCACAGCAGGACCTTGTTGTGTATCTATTTTGTATATATTAGTATCTACCAATCCTGATCTCCCAATTTATCCCTGAACTCCCTACCCCTTCTTCCTCCTGGTAGCCATAAGTTTGTTTTCTATGTCTGTGAGTCTATCTCTGTTTTATAAGTAAGTTCATTTGTGTTCTTTTTTAAAAATTTACATAGCCAAGACATGGGAGCAACCTAAATGTCCATCGACTGATGACTGGATAAAGAAGCTGTGGTATATTTATATATATATACAACTCAGCCATAAAAAAGAATAAAATAATGCCATTTGTAGCAACATGGATGGACCTGGAGATCGTCATTCTAAGTGAAGTAAACCAAAAAGAGAAAGAAAAATGCCATGTGATATCACTCATATGTGGAATCTAGAAAAGAAAAAAAAGGACACAAATTTACCCTTTCTGTAAGGACACCAGTCATGGTGGATCAGAGTCTACCCTAATGACCCCATCCTAACTTGGTGACAAAAACCCTGTTTTCAATAAGGTCACATTCTGAGGTACTGAGGGTAAGGACTCAAACATATCTTGGGGAGGGGGGACACAATTCAACCCAAAACAGAAGGGACACAGAGATAAAGGTCTGGAGACAAAGACAGCAGGGCATCTATTTGGGGATTGATGCTGCTGAAACAGCTGCCTTTCTAGTCATAGGCTGGAGAATTCTGGAAGTTGAGGGGCCACACAGAGCAGCACTTTGGAGTCTTGCTGCTGAAAGGGTTGTCCCCAGACCGCAGCACTGGCATCACCTAGGAGCTCGTTAGAAATGCAGAACCTCAGGTCCTGCCCCAGACCCTCTAAGTCAGAGTCTACGTTTAACACGGTTCCCAGAGGATCCGTGCGCCCACAAACGCTGGGGAAGCACAGGGGTGAGCACACACGGCTCACTTTTAAACTGTCACTAAAGAGTGAAGAAAAGTACATCCTGCTAAAACATGGTTTCATTCCCTGAACACCGAGATGAGCGGCTGCAGGACAGCTTTGCCCTCTGCGTGTCGCAGAGCTGAGCACTTTCTCCACAGGACGGCGGGTGCAGGTTTGAACATGGGGTTACCTAAAGGCTAGCTGCATTTGAGAAGCTTGTGCTGGGCCCTGTGGGTTTATCAGGCCAACAGAGAATGCCAAACACTTTCAGACACGGAGAGCAGCTTCCCTGAAGATATACTGAGAAATTGCTTGCGACTTGTATCAAAAAAAAAAACACTGGTCTCATGTCCAAAAATTCACTGTAACATCTTCACATCACTTCTGAGAAACGTCTTGTTCTTTGAGACTCCACGGACCGCAAGAGTCCTTACAACCACCTGACAGTCAAGATGCCCTGAGGCACACGCTGGCACCCAGCACGCCACCACGCTCAAGGACAGGTTTGAACCATAAAGCCGCAAACAAGTGCTCAAGAGAGAAAGAAGATGACAGTGTTCTTCAGTCTTACCTCATCATGACGTGTTCACTCAACTCACCTTCCATCAGCAGAAACCTGTGAAGGACTAAACTAAAATGAGAAGGTTCCATTAAGAGGAGACTTCAAGGATAGATAAGGGATGGTTTTCTTCGAGTGCTAGAAAGCAGAGAGGAAACTTCTGCATGTTGATCTACAAGACAAACTCACCTCATCACCCTAATGAACCAACTCCAAGGGCAGGAAGAATCACCCAAGTGCAATGGTCCAGCACGTGGGGCCAGACTGCCCAAGTGTGCATCCTGGTTTGGCCGTTTGTGATGTGCGTACCCATTGGCAGCTGAAACTCTGTGGCTCAGTTTCTCCATCTATGAAGTAGAGACAATGATTTCACAGGCTCACAAGTTTGTTGTAAAGATTCAGGAAGTTGACGTAAGTGGAGAACTTGGAATACTGCCCGCACGCACTAACTGGTGGACAGAACTCAGCATTGTTTGCATCACACAGGCTGTGAGTCTGAGCTCCCACGCTCTCTCCTTTCTCGTAAGGTCATCCCCGGCCCCTTCCAGCTGACTGAGGACAAGGTCAAGAATGGCTGGATCCACTAACTGTCCATCAACAGATGATTGGATAAAGCAGACATGGTGTGGATATATACAATGGGATAGTATTCAGCCATACAAAGGAAGGAAATAATGTCATTTGCAGCATCATGGATGGACTTAGAAATGATCATACTAAGTGAAGTAAGTCAGACAGAGAAAGACGAATATCATATATCACTTATATGTGGAATCTAAAAAATTGACACAAATGAACTTATTTACAAAACAGAAAGAGACTCATAGACATGGAAAACAGACTTATGGTTACCAGCGGGGAAATGAGGGACGGAGGGGTAGATTTGGAGTTTGGGATTGGCTGATACAAATGACTATGTACAGAACAGATAAACAACAAGGTCCTATTGTATAGCACAGAGAGCTGTATTCAATGGCTTGTAATGAAAAAGAATATATAAATGTGTAACAGTCACTATGCTGTACACCAGAAACTAGTACAACGCTGTAAATCAAAAAAATTCAAAAACATTTTTTAAAATTTTTATTGGAAAAAATAAATAATCTATAACAATTATATATATTTTTAATGGTTGGATCCAAAGTAAATCAGGAGCAGGACGTGGGGCCTCACGTCAGGACTCAGCTGTACCGAATCCAGGTGATGACTCACATGCAGCAAAAAGACCACTACAGAAACTTTACAGAAGTACCCCTGTGCCAGCTCTGACTAGATGAGAGCTTTGCTCACAGGCGAAAATGAACCGGCCTTCAGCATGCCCTTCCTGTCCACCCAGCTCAGCTCTGCGTGTCCGTTTAAGACCTCTTTGGAGTATTTCTCTTAAAATGTAGCACCATTTGGTACCTATGAAGAAGGGCTTAAAGGCAAAAATTATTTAAATGAGACCCAAGAGGCAGTATTACTAGAAGTAACTACTTCTACACAGACTGAAAAGCCACCTGAGTGGACGGGTAAGGCTTGAGCCAGCTGCAGATGCCCCAGAAGTGTCTCACGGCTTGTGCCCGGACAGCCCAGAAGTCTCGTTACATCACCTGTTCTCGGAACTTCCTTTACGTCCTCACTAATTCTCGGATGAAGAGGGTATGATTATTCCTAATTTACAGAGGGAAAACTAGAAAGTTACAGAGACAGGATTTAAGGTGAAAATGACCCCAAAGCCCACATGCCTGGCGTGAGCCGCTGGTTCCTCTCGCAGCTACACCGCCAGCATTTAAGGTTTCTGTGGTTTTCCTCTCTTCTTGAGGAGTATTTCACTGTGAAGTGTCTGACCTGGCGATCACACACTTCCTCGAGCTTGAAGTCTCTTTGCTGAGCTCTAGGGCAAGGGTCTGGCGATGCCCTTCCTGGGCTTATGAATTCCTGCGAGATGCAGGCACTTTGCCCCAGGGTAGCTCTGCTCATAAGCTGTTCTCAAAATAACAACTCTCATGGTCTTCTCCACCTTCTGAGCAAGGGAAATTCTTGCCAAGTTATGTCAGAAATCAAGCTGTGCAAAATCTCACTCACAGTGACTCACTTGGTATCATGACCATAGGCCAAAATCACTGGGAGGAAAAATCCCAAAACCCTAGACAAGGCAGTCAAAGGCCATTTACTCCATCCCCCGGGGCGGCGCTCGAACTGGGCGCTAACAGTTGTCTGCCCGACATGGATCTGCCGCATTTCTTAAAAACAAAGTGCACTGGGTCAGGAGTTTGCTGGGAAGAGCTTGGTTTTACAGCCTCAGAAGGAACAAGATCGCTTCTCATTGGCATGACTGCACTTTGAATACGAGAGCTTGTCATGTTGTAGAAAAACGACAAGTGAGATTTAGCGACATTCCTGGTGATGAACGCCGTGGCTGAAGATCGGTTGTAAAGGGCTCTCTTAATAGCCTGCAGCCAGCTGTCATTATCTTCTTCTGAATTCAATAACTCCAAAAATGAGAGCTTAATGCACGAGTAAGCTTTGTTTCTGCCATGATTTGATGGACAAGAGGGGAAGACTCCTTGAACTGGATTATTATTGTTACCAGAAGCTAAGTGAAATCTCAGCAAAAGACAAAAGTCTCTCCCCACCTCGCCGGCGCCTGCTCCGCCCTCACACTTGCTCACATGGACATGCCCTTGAGAGGTCAGTGTGCAATTAGCCAAAGCAGGGAACGATGCAGGTACAGTGTCATCATCTGTCTAACAGTGGGAGGTTCAGTGGCTTTGCAGTTGGTCACTGTGTAGAGAGCAGAGATAAAGCGCTGTGAGTCGGAGGTGTCAGCTGTGAGATGGCTGGACTTGGCCACAACCTTGCCTCTCATCTGGCTCCACGCATCTCCACTCCAGTTCAAGGTCCCGATGTCAGTGTCAGCCTGAGTTCTGCATACTCCTCTTACCCCAGTGTACAGCTCTTCTAGAAAATGTCACACATCCCTTTAGGAAGGGGTCAGGGACTATTATTTTAAATATGTGTGAAGGACAGGGATGATTCAGCGGTAGAATGGGTGCTTAGCATGAACGAGGCTCTGGAGGCTTCAGGACAACCTAGGAGTTCCATGAAGAAAAGGAAGTGGGGGCTGCGTGGGGAGCAGAGGGTCCTTTACAGGGGACCCACATCATTCGGATCTGGGATATGAAGTCCATCAGACTTTTCGCCAACCGAAACAAAATGCAGAGCAGCTGGGTTAGTTAAGTTACCCAGCCATAACATCTTTCCCCAGACATTGACTATGAGTCGGGAATCACCACAAATGTACATTTTAAGTTTCAACATTCAACTTCTTATACATTTCAAGCCTTTGCAGGAAACTTTAATTCTTAAGGCTTTTCAAATGAACCCCAAATATGAGAAATGTGTCACTGCTGTCTTAAGTGCGCTATGTGATTTTCCCCCATCGAGAGCAATCCATCACCAGCCTGGGAAAGTGGCCTGGGAACAAATAGTTCAGCAAGGCAGTAATTCTCAGGGCAGCCTCACCACGCCACCCTCACGGCCACAGAGAGTTAGACGAATAATGTGCAGAGAAGGAGTGATAATTCTCCAGCTGTCACGGGCTCGCGGGTGGCCGGCGAGAGCGAAGACTGGGAGATGTATGGATGTCTCCAACAGGCAGGATTACCTGCGCTGCCCATGTGCGGCCGCAGCAGGCGGGGACTCTGGGGGCTAGGTGGAGAGTCATTTGTTAAGGGACCCATTTAATCTCCTGTCAGCCCATTAGCATGTTCAAACACTTTTCATCTGGCTTCATCACTCCGATTAAGACTGCTGACAAGGATGGAAAGTTCTGCTTCGCAGGGTGAAACATGGCAAACAGTGCGGATACCAGTTGGTTTATTGCAGGGCAGGTGTGTGTCTGTGGAATCGGAGAGCAGGTGAGATTTTACAGAGCCGGACCTGCATCACTCTGCAGGGTGACCGCCCCCACTCCGGCGCTGTGTGTGACCCCTTGGGAAAGGTCACATGACTTACAGATATACACTATGTTTACTAAATCATATGTGTATAGAAATTCGAGGTTTCTGAGATCCTTTCTCATACATTATTTCACTTTATCGTCACAAAAAGAGAGACAGGTGCAGGTAGCCCCGTTAGACTGACCAGGGAACCGAGGCTCAGAGTGGCAGTGACTTTCCCAGGTTGAAATGTTACTTCCTCCTCCTCCCCATCTTCCTCCTCTCCAGCTTGCTTCATCTTTTTGGTGGCCATTCTCTTCATCTTCACCATCATTTCCTTCTGCCTTTAATTGCCTGCCATGTGCCATGTGCCACGTGCTGAACCAAACACCTTCGAGAATGGCTATTTCCTTTGTCAGGATTCTCCAAGGTGCATACCTTCATCCCCTTGATATAAACAATGGAACTGAGGCCATAAAATACTAAGTACCTGGACCTGCTGGGCACACACAGCTCATAAGTGGCAGAACCAGGATTAAACTCTCGCTCTTTCTGATTTCAAAGCACAGGCTAAC